TTTACCTTTAAAGGACAAATTGATTTTTGTAATCTCTTTGCCATATTATTCCAGTAGTGAAACCATCAGAGGGGAGAAGCTGACTTAGCAGCAGTAAGGACTACATAATTTCAGAGGTGCTACTTGGCCCTTTTCCTTTCAGTCAGCATTGCTCAGATGTAGTGAGCAGTGCTCCTTCCTTTCTCTGTTACTGGGGAAGATGCAAGTAATTAATTCCAGGAAAAAAAATGTGACTTCAAATGAGCAGTGGTGAAAGGTTATGCACTGTGAAATGAAGTTTTACAATGATATATTAAAAAAAACAGAGATAAAATGTAAACTGCTTTTTTATTTTATATTATTGTAAAATAAGTTTATATTAATCAAAAAGAAAATACCTTATTAAAATAGTTTAATGGAGATAGGAAATAAGAACTCAAAGCAAATTACTGTGTCACAGATCTTTCTCTTCCTAGGAAATATGAAAGTATCAAATTCCAAACACTGCACTATCATCTGTTAGGAAGACCACTATCACCATTTATGACCTGGTATTTATCAGTCACTGAAAGGCACTCAGAAGACTCTTGTGCCAAACTGTGATGTACCACACAGTCTATGCTGACAAACCACCCAAATCACAAGCCTTTCATGGTTCCAGAGAAACAAAATTCAGTAAATGTCCATTTCTCTGTTAGGTGTAAGATGAAAAGAAATAGATGTAAGCAAAATCATTGATTTGATAAACAATGGAAGAGCAGTTCTGTGGCAGAGACAGTTTAACAAAACCTGTGACGTCAGGAGGCTCCCCTGGAGCACAGAGGGCAAGGACAGCAGTGGGGCAGTACACACCAGATGTGCTCTAAGTGACAGAAACTAAATCTCATCTCAGCTGTAGGGAGTTAGATCTGAATATGACTCCTCATGTCTGAAAAGATCTGACATAATGATGTGAATGCTTGCAAAGTACAGAGGGGCTATGACAAACTCCTTTGGTGCTTGTGCTGGATGATACACTGAAAACTCAGTATCAACTAGCAAGGACACAAGAAGAAGAATGACCAAGTAGTGATGAGTCCCCACACTGGAAATGGCCTCATCATAGCACCTGTGCCTGAATAGGGAGCCCCAAAGTCTATTTGTCACACTTCAATCCAGACTCTTACTCTGGTTGAATTCTGAATTATGACAGATACCAAATCAAATGTTCCTGTCTTTTTTTACCTGGAGTACATACAAAGTCAGATGCATTGGAAAAGTGTGGGTTTGTGTATAGCCTGATGCATATCAGTTCTCAGAATCTAGCCTTCCATTCACAGATACACATTTTTCTTTTCACTAGAGAACTAACACTATGAATGTTAACACTGATATAGCTCCGAAAGATGGACCGCCAATGTGACTGCTCCAAGCAGACATTTTTGTGTGGGTCTTTGTTTGTTTATTTTGAATTTTCTTTGTCTTTGTTGTTTGGTTTGTTGTTGGGTTTTTTTTTGCTTTGTTATTGTGGGGTTTTTTGTTTTGGTTTTGTTGTTTGCTTGTTTCTGTTTTCTGGAAAGAGGAATCCACTAATTTTCTGAATCATGGCTACTAAAGTTTTCAAGCTATATTAAAAAAACTTTCTGGTAGGACTGTAGGTGGCCTACACAAGACTTCCACATACTAATCTTTACAGATATCTTTTGTGCTTGATTAATTAGAAAAAATAGGGAGATGTGATATTTTTACAGTGACGTTTTCTTATCATTAAATTAACCTGTATACATCTCCCATAAAGGATGAGGTCATGACATTTTTGTAAAGTTCCAGGTAAGTGCCAACTGTAAAATGACAAATGTAATATTTAGATGGTGTCTGCAGTAAAAATAAAAAAAAAAGTAATCTGTTTAATTTTATAGAAATATTGTATCATAAATTTAATCTGAGCATCATATATTAAAATAATGTTATGCAAATATCCATGACTTCTAAATATGGTTTTAGAATAAGACTACTTAATGGAATAAGTAATATTTTAAATGCCAGCCCACACACCATGAAAAAAGAAAGCTCAATTTAATCAGGCTGGTCATTTGTATCTTAGGTAGTCAAAGGATTAGCATGTAGAGTAAGTGAAGGCTGTGCAAGGCTTTGTGCAGGTTTTACACAGGTATTCACTTTCATCTCAATAAAAGATTTAGTGTAACAAATGTTGGCTTACAGAGTGCTTTGGTTCTTATGGCACAAAAGAGCTTCTGTGCTTCTGAGCACAAAAGAAACTTGCTCTGTTGCCATGTAAAGGTCAGGCACAGTTTTCCAAGACTGGGGGGAAAAAAGAGAACTAAAAAAAGAAGTGGCTTTGCTGACAGGTCTGTAGTATAGTGGTACAGACAAGTGTTTTTAATAGTTTGTTTATGTCAACTTTATTTTGACTAATTTCTCTATAAAATGAGAATAACTGTAGCACCCATAGAGAGAATATCTATTGGTATCACTGGTATAGCTCTATGGGATTGGAGAGGAAAGACAGAGGGTTTGGGGTAATATACTAACTTGAACTTTTTTTAACCTTTTCAGCAGACTTTGCCCACTGTAGACTGCAATGCATTGAAGAAAGCAGGGCTAACACAGCTCACTTGCTGTGAGAGACACACTTTTGCCTGGCCTTAACACAGAGTGGTCTCTATACAGTAAGAAATAAGTCTTAGTACATCTTTGAAGCCACTCCAACTGGAATTGTTTTCTGTCTCCTTGGAAAGTGGAGCAGAAAAGAAGGTGAGGCAGGCACATGCAAAATCTGCACCTACTCTTTATAACCACAGGACCGAGACGGATGCTGTGTGTTTATAAAACAAACTGACGTGCATAGCACATTGATGACATTAGGAGTGCACATATTGCAAACACTGCACTTTGGAAGCCCACAGGACTGCCAGCCCAAGCTGCAGGAACAGAATGCACACTGTTCCTAACTACTGTGCTCTGCCTCAATTCAAGAGGAAAAGAATGATAACAGATTCTCTCTGCTTTGTGGAGAAAGTAACAAGAATCTCAAGTGCAAATTATTTTCACAGCCAAGCATTATTTTAAAACTAAAACAGAATAAAATTATCATTTTAAACTTTCCAGAAGATATCTCCCTTTCCTCTTTTGTACTTTTATGCTGAAGTATCTTATCAAATCCTCAAAAAGCTGGGATTTTTTGAATCAACCTTGAAAATTGGAACAGCTTCCACTACAAGTTTCCAGCCTCTTTCTTTTCATATGTACTGTAAAATATGGTAATAGAAAGAAGAAGCAGCTGTAATCTGCTCATTCAATTGAATTTATCAGCCTGCATATATTTATTGTGTCATTGAACCTGTATTTGCCAAAAGAATGTAGGCCCACATACATTCCAGGCAATCAGAAGTTATTTATAGGTGTACACTACTGAAACTTCTTGTAATAGCATTTCCACCATGGAGTTATGATGAATTCCTGGGAGACAATACAGGGTTGATGTTTTTCGGGGTTTTTTTAAGTCCCCCAAACCAAGAACAGTGCAGATTCTGTAAAAGCTGAATAGTTTGGAAATGTATTTAGGTTTATTTAATACAAGGAATGCAATGATCCCAAATCAAACAGGACAGATGTGAAAGTCATCATTTCCAAAAGTGGACATGCTGAAGGAAGCCTCTGAGTCTAACAAAGGACTCATGTTGTGTGATGTCAACGGAATCTATAAGATTCAGACTCATCTAGTGACACCAGCAATGCCTTTCAGCAGCACTGACTTCATGTATAAAAGCTGAATAGAATTTTGTCTGTGTTTTCATCCATTGGAAATGTGCATTAATGGTGTCTTCTCTTCTGTCTTGATTTATATATGATTCAAGCCTATGCTAATCACCAATATTTGAATAAAAATTTTGAGAGAAAAAGAATCCCCTTAGATGTGTTCATCTGGAACACTGCAAAATGCAGCACTTTGAAGCCTCTAAAATAAATCAGGTTAATTCAGGAATAGCACATAAAGCTTGAAGGGCATTGTAGTTGTGGCTTTTTGAATTAGATGTGTAAGTCTAATAAGTATGGTATGGTTTATACAATACCATACTTTATTTTTCTTTTCAAGGAGAATATAAAACCTGGGGTTTTAATTGCTATTTTTTTGCAGTGCTATTACATGTAAAGACATTGAAGCACCGTGATACATTGAGAACACAAAGCTGAAACTTTAAACCACAGCAAAAGACAAATTTAAACACTTGAACATGGGCTGAATATGAAAGTTCCTTAGAAGAAAGCTACAGCATGGTATGCATCAGTCTTCTTCAAGACCTAAGCCTCTCCCATAACAAATCTGGTTGACTAATCTCCTGATTTAGGAGAGAGGAAGAACTCATTCAACAGTAACACAACCAGTGAAATTTAGCAGTACTCAGATAGAAGAAAAAAACCCTTCAAAACTTTATACAAGTGCACATTCAACTCACTCCCCAACACTCTCTCATTTTAGGGTGCAAACCAAGCTTGAGAGATCTCTTACTAGTTTTCTGTCCAAGAACAATAACTTTTCCTTGACTTTACATGCTGCAACAGGGCTGGAAGGATTAATATTCTCAACTACACATCTGTTCAAAAACTTCTGGCCGCAGCCCATAATGATCACAACCGAGATCTGAATTCAGGTGTTTCTGAGGCCTTAACAACAGCTCTAAGCTTTGAATAAACGTCTGTCATCCCATCCTTTTAGCACATATGTAGTTGCATGGATTGTGCATACAATCAGGTTAATCATTAGTCCTTTAAAGAAAGAGCTAAGTGTGTCTTTCAAGGACTCAGCTCTAGTCTACACCATGTTCCTTGTATATGCTCAAAATAGTAGAAACAAGTGAGTGAAATTTTCAACATCCTTTTAACTACTCTTCTCAGCCATAAACAGCAAGAAAAAAAAAGTAGGACTACATATATACATAGCCATATGTATGCAAATAGAAAAGACTAAATATGTCATCTCCATATACCCCAAAACCTTGAAACAAATCCAAAAACCTTACCCTTGCCAACGTCAGGGTTCCTTGTTTACATACACTGCAGCGGACCCTCAGTTTACCAGGCTTCACAGCTTGGCAGAAATTTTTGCAAAAAACATAAAAACTGTTGTAACTTGCTGCACCTGTCAAGAGGAAAAACAAACAAACAGGAAAAAACCACTTTTGATGTAGACTGAAAATCAGCAGCAAACTTTCATGAAAGCTTTCTGTTTTACTCTGTAAGTGATAAAATAATTTTAATTTCTGAAGAGAGCTTTGTGATCATCTTTTCTTGCCTGATCTAGTTCCTAACACCTTCCAGTAACTCCTGCTTCTTGATCAATAAGTACAGGTGAACTACACTATAACTCCTTGAAAATGCACCCAGAGCTTACCACTGATCAGCACCAAGTGAAATCTTTGGCAAGTGATGTATGAGATTAATTACCCCAACCATCCATAATTTGCATCTCACTTCTACTCTAAAATTGTCTAGCTGCAATTTTTATGAGGTCAAATTGCATGAAAATTTCTTTAGATGAAGTTTAAAAGATGAGTTTGACTGATATCACAACAAGAAAACAATTTAGCAAATTTACTTCTATTCATGGAAGACTGGAAGCCAGTTCTTTATTCTTGCTGGCAGCCTTATAACCTAGCAAAGTTTGCAAACTGCTGCCAAGATATTAGGCCAAGTAAATTTTCAAGGAAAATGAAATGAAACGCATTCTGTTCTGTGAAACTATGGAACAGAATGTGATATGCAGAGAATTGTCAAAGCCCAGGGCAATGCTAATGAATTTGATTTCACAGGCAATGCTGATCACTGTTTGAGTGAAGCACTTTTTAGAATAGCTATGGATATTCCTTACAAAATGTTGGAATACCTCTGGCATGGTTTTAATCTAGACTGGGCATCTCCAAGGTCAGAGACTCAAGGTTATCATTAGAAGTTGAAATGAGACCAGAATAAAGTTTCAAACAAAAATTTCTTAATATCAAGAAGAGATTTAACCCATTAACAGTGGTGAACTTCAGAACCAGTAGCAAACCCTTAGAGATTAAAAGTTTTTCACTGTCCATCTCCCTATTCTCTTATTTCTCCCTACATTCATCAGAAATATGTTTTATGTACATATGAACCCTAGCACATTACCACAGTAAATACAACCTGGAATAATATTTTTAAACATGTCTGACTTCCTTTATTTTCATATGTTCTTCACACAGTAAAGGGTCAGATCCTGTGTTCTGCCAATGCAAAATGTCAGTCAATTACATTTTATATCTATTCATGGCTGTCCTGATTTAAGTGTGCTCAAATATAATATAAATGTAACTCAAATGTAATTTCAGTTTCCAAAACTCAACCTCAGAGAACTATGTCATATAAAAAATCTTTTTTTCTAAGAAAAAGTATGCAGATGTCTACAAAGAAGATGTGCACTGTTGAAAAAAAAATTAACACTTCTTCAATTTTTCAGGAACATTAGCTACATAAGAGTATATCAGTGATGTATCCAAAAAGAACTTTAGTCAACTGATCTATCAAGTGTTGTCCCTATGTTTCCTTGGAAAGTATTAACCACCATGGCAGGAGACAAAGTATTACAGAATTTAAATGGAAGTCAGTTTTTTTTGGAAAATGACACACACCGTTTTCACACTTTTCATATTCACACTTACACACTTTTCATATGAATAACTCAAAAGGCTGAGAGCACACTTCTCAAATCAGTCTAAAACACATTTCTGGGATTAAAATAGTTAAATTAAAGGCAAAAAGTCTTATGCTGAGCTATTTAATATACAATTCAATGTTGTGAAATATGACAAAGTTTTGAACAACTGGATATCCATTCATTCGTACTTTGCTGGAGGCTCTCATTACTGGAACTGAGAGCACTGGATTAGACTTGATTTGAGCTAAAATCCACATCAGAAGTCTAAATTATGGTATTGCATATGAGAAGGAGGACACTTGCAAGTGACTTAATTTTACTTTTGGCAGTTCCTCTATGCAGGATCAGCTGATCAATCAGTAAGAGTAAAAGGCCAGTGCCTTTAGCACAATTCAAAGGGAATGCTCCATGACTTAAGAAAGCAGGAATGCTATTTCTAGTAGAGGTCCACAATAAACAAGATGATTTCAGCCACTTATTCCTGACTTGGTCTCAACAGCAGGAAGTGAGACCAGAGCCTGTTATCCTTTCTGTTATCACCAGTCCTCTCCCATTGTTCCCATTTCCTATGTGGGCTAATGGGACTACTGAAACTGCTGCTTCTATTCACACTCATCTTGAGTAATTCTGTGATGCCAGTGCTCACTGTCCTCGTTCATTCCTGCACTCCAAACTTATTCCTGGTGTGACTCTAATAAAATCCTTCCAGTTAAACAGAACCATCTTATTGAGTACATGAGCCCTTACAGCATAAAATAATTTGTTAATTGGCTGATGCCTTTCCTGATTCAGTCCTCCATTCCCTGCTGTCTTGTGTCCCTCTCATTTTTTGCCAAGGATTAAAATTTATTTCAAGGATTAAAACACTTGAGGCAGGAAGCATGCTCTCTGTCTGCTTTGTGTTCTAAGCTCATTCCATCTGGACCAAAAGATAAAATTATTTTATTGATAATAGTCTGCAAAATATTCACGGGATAGTACGGCATAAATCAGCATGACTGAATACTGCAGTAAAAAATAGTAGTCATAGGAGAGGCCTAAAATGAGACATATTGCTGATTTACTATAGAGGATAAATCTTATGCATTAGCTTGATATTTGCTCTGTGCAAAAATAGACTACATTAGCTCAATATTCATTTTTCTTAGCACTTTCAATTTTGTTTTCAGTTTTCATGAATATAAAAAGTCCCCCCAAACACATTCCCTGCGCACAAATTTGAAACACAAGAAACAAATTTATAATATAATGGGTTGGAGCAGTTAAGCAGCACAGATCTATTCAGAGACACAAAATAACTTCAGAAATATCTGCAATAGCAAGGAAGCTGGAAAGGCACAATGTGATAAGAGGAATGCACTGATTTTAGAAGGAATGTGTTAAGTGGAGATTTTCAGCAACACATTCACCATTTTATGCAGATGTACTGATCACATTCTCGCTAAGTGCAGTTACATCATTAGGTGCAGGTCCTGAGCAGCATCAGCAGGCAAAACAAAGACTTAATTAAAAATTCAAATGTTGTAAGTCTGCTTACAGTACAACACTGATGGTCAGCATTAAGCTCTTTACTGACTATATTACCATGGCCCTTGGCTGAGACTGCATCCCCTCGGATCCCTTTTCAAAGAGAAACTGAAAGACACAGGAACAAGGAAATCTGTCTTATGCACCAGCTCTGACCCATCAATATTAATAAAGAATGTCATTATGGCACAGTGCCAGTAATCACTAAAACTGCTGCAGAACCAAGCACATAAGTACATGTATCAGGCACACAACTTTTGGGTATACAACTTTCACGAGACTTGAGAAAACAATCTCTATTTTGTAGTTTTCACTTCCGAATATCATATAAAGCCACTTATTACATGCTAGTTTTAGGAAAATGCTTGATGGTTTTCTCTATGGAGTTAATTTAATTAAGTTGCCTTTATGGGCCAAAAAAAAAAAAGAAAAAAAAAAAAAAAGGTCTTAAAACTGTTTACCCCTTTAGTATTTTATATAAAAAGAAGAAGTAGCTTTCTCTGATGTGTATCCTACTGTTTTTATACTGTCTCCCCATTTAGGTTTTTAAGCTCCTTAGGACCTGAATTACTTCCTCATTTCTGTGTTGTTAATGATGACCATGCACTGGGAGCTTTGTATAGGTTAGTGATAGCACAGACCAATTATTTCGATATGCATGACTAGTTAATGAGAAAGCATTAGTCATAATGACTATAGACTTGATCCTGAAATCTCTAATCAGTCAAAACACCCATTATCATCTCTATGACTGTTTAAGTGAATAAAATCTAAATAGGGATATTAGTAGCAAACCTGCTGTTTTCATTTGAACTGCATTTTCATATAGATTATACTGATTACTGAGTCTTTCCTATAATCACCTGTTTAAAACAGGACACAGCTACAGGAAATCTTTCACCAGACTGAAACCTACACAAAGTTAGCATTGTTTCAGACTCCATTATATTTACATTTAGACTACTTGTAATTTGTAAAATGTAGCCTGACTGTCAGAGACCTCAGTCTATTTTAGCAATTTGCGCCTACATAATGAAAAATATGCAGTTAGAAGAGAAAGAAAAGAAGTATTCCTCCAACTGTGTTCACTTTAAGGACTTTGTTTGAGTCAACACAGTAGGAGGGAAAATGTCTGAAATACAAAACTAGAAGGCTCAAACTAGTGAAAATTTCCAAATAAAGTTAACTTTAAAAACAAAATAGCGTAGGTTTCATTTCTGGGCCCAAAGAAAGAGAAATTACTTACAAGATCGCATTCATTTTGCAAAAATACAACTGGTATGTTCTGTCTTTAACTTTTGTCCTTTAACTACTTTTTTTGTCTGCAAAGACATCACAGAGCACATAGCTTTCCTCCCCAGACCCATGTGGATGCACATATTCATAAACTTTTCTACCTGTTCTAGATTATACCTATTCTTTATGATGACTTTCTAATTTATAACATGAAAATTATATTTATTTAACAGATAGATTCATCTAAAATGGTTGTGATTTATTCTAGTGAGAAAAATTGACTTTTATGGTTTGATTCAATTCATCCTAAAGTATATATATAAAGACATACAAACAGGTCAGACAAATTGTGCCTAAAAGGGTCTGCTTCTCTCTTTTGTGGGGATTTAGAACAACAAAATGTGGTAGAAATATCTACTTTGCAAACCTCTAAAATTAGGGAAGATGAACCCCACATGGTGATGCCATGCAAAAGAACTCATGACCTAAGAGCTGAAGTACGATAACAATATGAAATAGAATAAATCAGAAAAAAAAACCCCAATAAACCAACAGCAACTCTTTCTTGATACTCAAATAGGATTTGTAGAATGTCTAAGTATCTCAGGTAATTAAAGTATATGGAATATACAGCTATTCAGAAAAAAAATAAATAGACTTGTCACTGTTACGAGGACTAAAAATTTAAGAAGAGTTGA